ATTAATTTGCTTTTATAGTTCATAGTAATTTATCTAAATCTGTTTCATTCTTGAATATTGTCGTTTAAAAATTTTAGCTCTTTAATTCTAATTAATTCTAATTTTTTCGAACATTTTTAATATAATTTGAATTATTTTGAATTATTTTGTGCTTATAGTTCACATTAATTTTTTTTAATCTGTTTCGAATTATTTTGAATTATTTTGCATAAAATTGCATTATTTCTTGTATAATATTGCATAATTATCTTACGTAATATTTCGTAATTATATATTTCGCAATATTGTGAAAGTTATTATATAATATTATGGTTTTCTTATACTTCGTAAATTATTGCGCAATATTACGCCCTATTAAATTTGTTAATGTAGTTAGAATAAAAATCTTTATAAAAATTTTTTTTTATATTTATTTTATCAAATTATTTTAGCAAGCAAATTTACCTGCTAATTTAAACAGTTTAAAAAATAGTAAAACAATCAATAGAAATAAAGCAAAATAATATTTTTTAAAAAAATCAAATATCTTAACTTTTATAATTTATATCTTAATAAACTTTGAAGTTATTTTAATAATTTAATATTTAAAAGAGAGCTTGGATTATAAGCTTTTTTTTAACTATTAAATAATCAAATAGCTTCAAAATCTATCAAGATATAAGCTAAAAAAGCTAAAGTATTAATTTTTTTAAAATATCAATCTGCCTTATTTCTATTGATAGCAACCCATTTAGTCAATTTGCCTTATTTCTATTAATAGCAGCCCAGTTAGTCAATTTATCACTCTAGTATGTATATATGTTGTACTTTGGAATGGAATTCCGATAGATTTAAAATCTACTTAAGTTGAAACTAAATTCCAAATATAGATCAAGTTGCTATGAAATCCAAATTTAACTTAAATTGATTCTAAATTGATTTGAACATACCGAATATGTAATGTAATTAATTGATGCCATTAGTATAAAGTTAAATAAATTAAAATTATATGATTTGTTTTTATCAATTTATATAAAATTCTCTTTTACATATTTGCTTTTGTTACTCTATTTAGTAACTTACTCTTTTTAGTAGCTTTTAAGTAACTTAAAATACAATGGTTGAACCTCAAAACTATTCATTCTTGTCTCATAGTGTATTTGATAACTTACTTATTAAATATCTTAATAGTAAGTCAGATAATAGACGGCGTAAAACTTTTATTACATGTGAAGATTTCGTTTTTTGCATTAAAATTTTACAAGATCCAACAAACACAAAAATTGAAACTGCTAAAGATCGTCACTGGGCAAAAAAAATATTTGCAATACGTAATCTTGGAACACTAGCAAATCCTATTATTCAACTTATTAAAGTAGAATCAAATTTGCCGATATGCTCTGTTGACAAGATATACAACATGTTGTGTAGCCTACATTAAGAAGTCTTAAAACATATTGGTGCATCAAAACTCTAGGAAGCGGTATATATAATGAAAAAAAATAATTTTATCATTATATATATGAGCGACATTAAAAAAAAATATAATAATTATTTTTATTTTCAAATTTATATTTGAAAAGGTAAAAGAAAATTTGAAATAACTATTACAGGCTTTTTTTAATATCACTTATAAATTATAATAATGAGTTAATATTATATTAATTCTTTTTTATAGGTTTCTGAGCAATGTTGTTATATTTCACAATTGTTTGTTAAGGAATTTGTAAAAAATTGCACAACATGTGTAACAAGAAGTTTTCCAAATCCAATTGCTGCAAAGCTAATCATTTCTAATGCCTTCCTTAATAGGGTTCAAATTGATTTAATTTCTATAACTAGCATTCTCGATGGAGACTATTGTTATATATATCACATGCGAGATCATTTTACAAGATATTCTTGGGCCCGGGCTCTAACTAGCAAACGGCCAATTGAAGTGGCTATCTTTCTTTTTAATATATTTGTTTGCTTTGGTGCCCAATTATTCTTTAATCCAATAATGGTCGAGAATTTATAGCAGAAATAATTCGTGAATTATTGACTATATGGCCAGATGTTCATATTATTAATGGGCATCCAAGACACCTGCAGAGTCAAGGGTTAGTGAAATGAATAAATGATATTTTTCAACAAAAAATATCAAAATAGATAGAAGATACAAAAAGAACTAATTGGTCTCGCGCTATACCATTGTGTTGTTGTAAGCTTTATTTATTTATTTATTATATTATATTTTATTTTATTTTATTTATTTATTTAATTCAATTGATATTTTTAACAGATGCGATGAATGTACAATTATTCTAGCAAACTAAAAGTAGTCCATATACATTGGTATTTGGACAAAATCCTCTGTATCATTTTTACTTATTAAAAAAAATTAAGGAACAGCATATTAATTCTGAAGACAAACTATCTGAAAATTGGTTTGAACAACTTGAACCTCATGATAATATAAATTAACAAGAAATTGTAGAATCATTGTTGGGGGCTACAGCTTTAAATACTAAGGTACATATATATATAACAATATTGCTATTGATTTTAAATATATAAATTAATTATTTAATTTATTTACCTTATTATTATTGTTATACTTAGAAGTGAGAGTTATTGGATATGATTAATAAAGAATCAGAAGATGAAGATGAAGAGATAGATAATAGAAATGTGAATGAAATAGTAGATGAAATAGTGGATATGACTGAAATAATAGATGTAGACAAAATAGCAAATATAAATGAAATAGCTGATATAAATGAGATAATAGATGTAAATGAAATAACAAATGAAAGAGAAGTAGTTGAAATGGTAAATGAAATAATAGATAAAAGAATGAATAAAAATATGAACAAAAGGATAAATGAAAACATGGATGAAAAGGCCAAAAAAAAGGCAACCGAAAATATAAATGAAAAAAGAGTTAATAGAAAGGCAAACGAAAGAATAAATAAAAGAGCAAATGAAAAAACAAATGAAAAAGTGAATGAAGAGACAAGTAAGAGAGTGAATGAAGAAGTAAATGAAAGGGTGAATGAAGAGATAAACAGAAGAGTAAATGAAAAAGCAAATGAAAGAATGAATGAAAATATAAACAAAACGGTAAATGAAAATATGAGTAAAAAGATAAATGAAAAAATAGATGAAAGAGTAAACAAAAGGACAAATGAAAAAGCAAGAGAAACAATAAATAGAGTAGTAGATAAAAGAAAAAGAATAGACAAAAATGAAGCAAATAAACAAGTAAATAAAGGTACAAACAAAAAAATGAAACATAAGGTAGATGAAGAGGTAAGCAAAAGGATAAGCAAAAGTGTAACCAAAAAGATGAATAAAATGATAAATAAAGAAGTAGATAAAATTATGAGTGAAGAGGTAGATGAAATAATAGATGAAGAAGTAGGTTAAAGAAATTTTAAATGAAAAGAATTGAAACATAAATTAATCTTTTTATCTAATTAAATAATTTTTAATAAAATTTATTAAACAGATAGAATTACCTGAAGCCAACGAATTATTATTAAGGAATACATCTAAAATTCAGGTATTTAATTACAATTTATTTTGAATACATCATGTAATTGCTATCCTAGAATCTCAGGTTTATTTATTTTTTTTGTAGTCTGCTTTAGATAAATGTAATTCTCAACGTATTTTTCAAAACAAAACTAATGTTCAACAAACAGCAGCACACGAAATCTACCAAGGTATAGCTACAAAATCTCTTAAGAGATATAATGATAATATGAAATCACAGTTAATCAAGCGCAATAAAAAATTTGCAGACAAATATAATGTTGGAGATTTTGTTCATCTCAAAATTCCTGAAATTGACAGAACACACAGTGATTGAAAGACATTACTGTGTAAAGTTCTTGAAGTTTTGCAAGACAATACTTACAAGATTGGATGTAAATCGGGCATTATTCAAATTACCTACAATGCTACTGAACTACTTCCTTTGGGTCCTAGTGACTTTCTGGAATTAGATAATATTCCTTCAACTTTTATAAGTGTTCATGAAGCAGCATTGGCACAATCTGCATCAGAAATAGGTAATTTAAAATGTAATTGCAAAAATACTTGCGAAAAAAATTTCTGTAAATGTAAAAAGGCAAATATACCGTGTGGTAGTAGCTGTCATCCTAGCAATTATCGATGTAAAAATACTATGTAATATTAGTAGTATTGAGCAGTAATTTGCAATACAAAATGCTTTTTAAATAAATTCTAAATCTACTTAAATTCTAAAATAACATACTTGTTAAAATTATTTAGAATTTATTAAATTTAAATTTAAATTAATTTTGAATCCTTTAACAACTTGAACATGATTTGGAATTCTATTGTAACTTATGTTTATTTGGAATCAACTTAAGTAGATTCTAAATCTATCGGGATTCCATTCCAACGTACAACATATACAGTACAAAAAAAAAAAAAAAAAAAATTGACAAATTATATAATTCATGATCTAGTAATTCAATTCGTCCCAGTAAGATAAATCGAAAATAGCGCTAATTATTTGAATACACATGATCATATTGAACAAGTTACAAATCTCAATAATATTTAGCAAAAAATGAATAAAACTATGAGTTATTGCTTAACGTACAAAAAATGAAACCTAGAAACCCAAAAGATAGTATATATAGTATGAAATTTAGTTATAAAAGAATATGCATATAATACAATATATAGTTTACATATAATAAAAAATTGCTAGAAACAAATTTACAAGATTAAATAAGACATAGCTTTGTCCTAAGCATTCACTTCACTTTCGATCAATTTTTTCTTTGCGGCATAGATACAAAACTGAAAATTCAAATAGAGATTATTTAGTATATCAAAAAAGTTAATATATATATTCAGCTAATGTAAATAAAAAATCCTTTACCTCTTCAAAGAGAATATATCCTCCATCGTTTGTATCGATTTCAGCGAAATCTTTCTTAAGTTCAGCAGTATTATTAGTAGTTATTCCTATAAGGTCATGACCTTTTTTAAATTCATCAAAACCGATGCGTTTATCTTTATTTTTATCTAATTGTTGAAAAAGATGATAAAGCTCATCGTAATAATATAGAAGATCAATGAGGCGGCCAAATTCGGTAAGTTGAACGAATCCATCCTAATTATGTATTTAACATTATGAGAAAGTTTATTCAATACGTGCAATATAAATTCTACTAGACAAACCTTTGAGGTATCCGCAGCTTTATAAGCTCGAATGAGGACAGGCTTTTCGTCAGCAAATCGTGGGTAGAGTTCTATTACAGCTTTATCAATTTCCGCAAGGGATAGAATGCCATTATTATTGTAATCAAATTTTTTGAAGGTCTACATCATGATTAAAATAAAGTCAAAAGTCAATAATTTGAAGATTATATAATAGAAAAATTAGTTGCATTAAAATTAAATCGACTAATATCACTATTAATTACCTCATTAATTTTTTCTTTACTCAATTTTTCCGGCATGATTATTTTTTTTGGAGAAAAAAATTTTTTTTACAAATGGGCTGAAGAATAAGATTTTATGTATATTATTAGATCGACAATTATTTATATATCGTGAGACCTAACGATAAAAATTGAATATTGTAACCTAGAATTTGAAATAGAAACAAATACATCGTGAAAATGCCATGAATTTATCAAATTTTGGAAAGAATTTGATTTAAATATTTTTACAGAAAATTACTATATAGCAATTTTTTTATATTATGACTATTTATTTGTGCGTATTTAAATTAATGATGCTAAAAGTTGGAGTTGATAGCCCTACTAAAATATAACTATATATATATATATATATATGTTTTCATCTGATAGGCACCTCACCGGCCAAAAGATAATAAACCAGAAATTTGGTGATTTTATCGAAATATCAGTTAATGTGAGTGGTTCACCAACCCTCAATAAGCTTGCGGAAGACTTCACATTATTAGAAAAAAATGAGTGTTAGTATAAAATTAAATAACAATGCTATATATTACCCTACATCACATGCATGTAAATGATCCTTGTGGTTATGTATGTTCGTCCTCTACTCAGGGCTAAAACGACACATAGTATACGGTGGCCATTTACTGCGCCGCTGCCCATTGTTTGAAGTATCATATTTGATACATAAAATTTACGAGTAATAAAATTTTAATAATATGAATCAAAAACGACACTTATTGAATGGCCGGTATTTACTATGTGTCGTTTTAGCCCTGCCTCTACTACGTTATAGCAATAACCAGTTTTAAGATTAGCCAACTTTTAATCAGACCAACTAGATTGGAGTTTTTAATCTTGCATGTACCACTCTTAAAATATTAAAGCATTGAAAATTAGCTTATCGATATATAGTATGTGATTAATAAATCTAAAAAAATCTAGACCAAACATTAATACTTTAATATTTAGTATATAGTTGCTTCATTTCCGGGTTCAGATAGATAATAAAAATGATAAATTTAATTTAAATACGTACAGTATATACTTTCTTAAATTGCTAAATACAGTGGTATATAGCATGTTACGTACTTATTTATTCATAAGACCATACCAATATACAGTAATTCTATATTTTACGATTCTCTATTTTACAATCTCATAATTTTTCTATCTATAAAACTATACTTCTGTACTTAAAAATTCTTTTACACCCATAAAGCATAACTTTTTATCACGTTATTACAAGTTTAATCTTATATATATATATACAGTACGTATAATACATATCGAACAGGTTTACGTAAATTATAATTACCGTAATTATCGGACCCAGGTACCCTGTGTGACAAATAATGTAAAAATAATGTAGATCAATTTTTAAAATATTATTTATATGAGTGCATGTGATGTAATGCACGTGATATTTAATTTTTTACTATGTGAAAAATCGTATCACACCGGGTACCTGGGTCCGATAATTACGGTATATGTAGATTGCTAAATTTGGCAAACTCTCGTTAGTTACGTAGTAAAAAGATCTACAGTAATTTGAAAAATATATATAAATTTCCAAACAACAATCGATCATTTTTGAACTAGAAATAAACTTTACCTTTTATCAAATTATCGGTTTCCAACAATTTAATTCTCTCTTCAACCATTTTGATTTTCTCTAAGGTATCGTCTCTCAGCAACTGATTCTCTTTCAACCTTTCAAAATTTTCATCTTTCAACGTTTGGATCTCTTTCTTCAACCTTTCAAAATTTTCATCTTTTACCAAGATACAATCTTTCAACGATTGAATTTCTCTCTCCAACTTTTTCAAATTTTCGTCTTTTGCTAATATATCATCTTTCAACGATTTGTCCTTCGTTAATATATCATTTTTCAATAATTGAATCTCCTTCTCTAACTTTTCAAAATTCTCGTCTTTAACCAAGATACAATCTTTCAATGATTGAATTTCTCTTTCCAGCTTTTTCAAATTTTCGTCTTTTGTTAATATATCATCTTTCAATGATTTGTTTTTCGTTAATATATCATTTTTCAATAATTGAATCTCCTCTAACTTTTCAAAATCCTCGTCTTTAACCAAGATATCTTTCGACGGTTGGGTCTTTTCTTTTTCTTTCTCATTAAACGTATTTTCTGTATTGCTTTTCTTCTTTTTACAATTTATATTTGAGCAAAACCCAGTACTATCAAGTTTCTTTTGACATAAGTTGCAATGAGGAGGAAGGATACATTCAATACCTTTTTTACAACATCCGCTACATGGAATAAAAGGTATTGCATTTTGATCCCAGCCTATACACCTTTTTTTTGATTTCTTACATTCATCACACACAATATCAGCGCGAGGTCTTTTTTTCCCTGCTGATTGAATATTTTGATGTGATAAATCTTTGGATGAATCGTTTAGCGTATGAGCTGGCAAGAATGTAAAAATTTTTTGCCTATTCATATTATATGATAGCATTATAAAAAGAGATTAAACGTAAGAAATAAATGTAGAAGATGGATCGAGTATAAATACTACTACTGTAAAATAAACTACATTATATAATTTTCAAAAAAAAACCAGCCTGACAATGTCTTTTACAAAAGTATATATACAGTATATTGCAATATATTCTACGTAATAAGTAGTAAAACTGTATTTTTTCCTCTTTTGGGTGCGGTATTTCGGCAATTAAGAGATCATCGCAAATTAACCGCAAATTTAGTGCAATAAATAACTGGTTTATTTTGGACGATAGTCGGTATATTCAGTATTAGGCACAGTAAAATCATCCATCTGTAAGTTTGAGAATTTCGCTACAGAAGGTAAAAAATAAAAATATAAAACTTTAACAAAAAAAAAAAGGCAAATTCATTAACGTTGATCTGTTTTAACATTTGTCGTACATAAAATTTTCTAAACATTTATTTGTACATCATAATAAACTAACCAATTTGGAAAATGAACCTTCGTACGTATAATATGGTAATATAACGATACAATGATATATACCTGTTATATATACAGTTCGATAAAACCTTACAATAGCGATAATTTTTTTTTTTTATACAATGAAATCTTCACAATTTTAATATGTATAGAAAAAATAAACTATTCGGTATTACAATAATATGTATAAGTAGTTAAAGGAGTACAGTATATATTATTATACGGTACTGCTAAGAAAAATGATCAAGGTTATTATTTATTATCTGTTATATAAATTCAGCTAGGAACACGAATTTATATGATAAAAAATTTGTAAATGATATACAGTATATAAAATAGAAAATTCATAGTATATCACTTTAGCTATATCTTATAATATATATTAGCCCTACAAAAAAGGACCAAAAAATTTAAAATTTTATAGTATCAAAAATATACAGTACGTAGCACAAGACATTTCAGATAAAAAAAATCGATTAAGGCAATTAAATTTTAAATATTAGTAAACTCAAATAAAAATTAATATTAAAAAATGGGAAATAATCTACTATCTACTATACGTGTATAACCAAAAAAATCGTTATTGTTCGATTTTTTATAGTTAGTTCTTTTTATATTTAGTAATTAAATATTTAAAAGTATGCGCGTCTGATTTTAAAATTTATGAAAAATCAAATCGCCTAAATGCAATAGTGACAAACTCGTGTAATAGGCTATTTAAGCGTTAATAACAAACCTATACTAATAAAAATTTTATTACAAATTATGTAACTTTCACGTACAAGCTAAATTTTCGTGTAATCAAGGATTAGAGTGTACTGTAAAGAAGATATCTGACGAAGAGCCTCCGTATGTGATCATAGTTGAAACTATGATTCAAGTTCGAGTAAAAATACGGGTAAAAAAAAAAACAATGCAATATTCTTTTTAGATAGTGTCCATGTCCAAAAGCATCAAGCATTAGTATTCATTAATAAAGTGGTAAAAACGTATAATCATGTTTAAATCGGGCAATGATAAAATTTGAGGAAGGAAGAAATTTACGAGGTGCTAGATTATATCAGATATTAATTCATGACTGTCTCATACAAATTTGATGCAACTTATCAAAAAAATTTTCTTGAAAACAAACATCCAATATATTCAAAAGATCTGTATACGGCAATTAGTGATGTCGAGAAGGTTTCTAAATGGTTAGACAAGCAAGAAGATCTAGATCCTCGATGGTTTATTGCACGAGACTGGGTTGGTGATAATGTTTTAACAGATTTAAATATAGATGACGCCAGAACAAATAAAAAATTGGGTGACTGTATCTTTAATTTCGAGGATTTCCCTGACTATTGAAATTGGTCAGATTTAAATTTCGGGGATTTCCCCAACAGCTAGTGATGTGAATTTTCCCAAATCACTATATTTCCTACCGGTATATACCGGTAGGTGGTGTTGGCCGATGACCTTCAATGATCTTTATGACCAGTCATAGGTCATTTGGTCTTAATGAGGGTTAATACTGTATGACTTATGACCTTTTTTAATATAGTAAAAATCATAGTAAAAAATTTTTTATTAGCATTTAATATGACCAAAAAGTCATATGATTATATGACCAGGGTCATATCAAAAAAGTGATATGACTTAGGTCATCGACCAACACTGGTAGCTACCGGTAGTATAGCAGGCTTTCATTCTGATTGGCTAATTTTTCTACCTATATATACATGTTATAATTACATTCAATTTGATGATCAAAATCAACAGCCAATAAAAACGGATTTCTATCATGCTTAACGCGTCAAAATGCTGGTAAAATACTGGTACCAACGCGTTCACTTTATTTTTTAATAACTTTTTCTGACAAAACACGCTATCGACTTCTGTTAAAGACTGGACCATTTTTTCACTTTCATAAAAGTTGGATTGACTCTCATGAACTAATTTATAGTAAAGCAACGGACGCACTTGTTAAAAGTCTCCAGGCGATTGTTCAGATGTTTCAAAAATATGGAAAGCTAGCTAGCTCTCTTTTAGCCGATCTTCGACTTTTTTTTATACGGGAATGTCCTTCGACAGTGTTCTTTTTGAAGACTGCGTTGTCCACAACTAGGAAGACACAACTTTTCGTTGTTCTTCTGAGGATCTTCTTGATCGTTGTGGTTGCGACATCCATAACTAGAAGCTTCTTGATTGTTATATGTCCTTCGACAGTGTACTTTTTGAAGACTGCGTTGTCCACAACTAGGAAGACACAACTTTTCGTTGTTCTTCTGAGGATCTTCTTGATCGTTGTGGTTGCGACACCCATAACTAGAAGCTTCTTGCCACTTCTCTGACGATCTTTTTAATTGTTATGGTTTTTTTTTATACGGGAATGTCCTTCGACAGTGTTCTTTTTGAAGACTGCGTTGTCCACAACTAGGAAGGCACAACTTTTCGTTGTCCTTCTGAGGATCTTCTTGATCGTTGTGGTTGCGGCATCCATAACTAGGAGCTTCTTGCCACTCCTCTGACGATCTTTTTGATTGGTATGGTTTTTTTAGCGTTGAACATTGTTAATACACTGAAATTATTTTAGGTAGAACTAATAGCTTTTTTTTTTTTTTTGTTAAGAAAAAGATTGTTCAACGAAGCTCAGATGTTTCAAAAATATGGAAGCTAGCTCTCTTTTAGCCGATCTTCGGGCAAGTACTTTTTTTTATACGGGATGTCCTTCGCAGTGTTCTTTTTGAAGACTGCGTTGTCCACAACTAGGAAGACACAACTTTTCGTTGTTCTTCTGAGGATCTTCTTGATCGTTGTGGTTGCGACATCCATAACTAGGAGGCATGGGTGCTTCTTGCCACTCCTCTGACGATCTTTTTGATTGTTATGGTTTTTTTTAGCGTTGAATATTGTTAATACACTGAAATTATTTTAGGTAGAACTAATAGCTTTTTTTTTTTTTTTTTGTCAAGAAAACGAGATTGATCAATACAGGAACAAATATTCAGTTCATAAATTCATCAACGTTGGAAATAAACGGGCTCGTGAAAAAAGAGAACGAGACACCATGAAAAAAAGTCAGTATATAATTTGATTGAGTGAGATTGGTGTGAACTGCATTAGTTTGTTAACGACGATCTCTCTTTAAACCAGGACATCATGAAGAAATACCGTCATCAGAGATTTGATATTTTCATTATTTTATACATATTTTCATTATTTATAATATCGTATAACAGATTTTTCTTGCACAGAATTCAATTGTTCAAGGACTTACAAATGTTGGTAGGATCGCTCGTTATAATATTATCTTTTTACCGGAAGAAAATGAGTGTAGTCCAGTTAAATCAATATTCACTAAAGAGAATGGATAAAGCTTGAAGCGGATTGGCAAAGATCAGTGATATGGTTTCGTCAGGCATCACTACTCGCCGGTAGTGAAATGAATGAGAATGTTATTAAGTTACTGAAAAAATACAATGATGGTATCACTAAACAACATGAAATGTCTATTGTCAATCGTGATGTACTGAAGAATGGTCTACGCAATGAATTAAATTGGTTTATAATGCATTGTAAGTATATTTTTTGGTCCGTTTTTTTTCTTTTTTTTGATATATTAACTTTATTTTATTTTATTATAGTTTACTGTGGTTTCAACTATTTATAAATCCACTTCACGATGGTGAATTATCTGAATACGCCTATAGAGATAGGATTGTAAATCATATAATAGAGGATGTTTTTTCTAGACATTAATAATGTCATTCGTATAAAAACGTAGGTTTTCTCTTGTAATATTCTTAAGATTTACTGATAACAAGGGGAGAAGTTGAAAACCGGGATGATCAAGGTAAATAGTATTGATTTTCAATAGGTTGTGGGCAACGTCTGTATACGTGATGATAAAAAAATGATAGAAGATCGGGAGAAAATTTTAAAGTGTAAGTAGAAAGTTACAAAGTTACAGCTGATTTTTATATCCTAATTAATAGAATCATTAAATTTAATAGCGATAGAGATTACTTCTGATACCAGTTATTTAGACAACAGAGTTGATAAGAACGACATTAATGATGCTGAAACGTTTGGGATTCTCGTTTACAGTAAATGATAGTTTACAATTTTATTAGTATTCATTATTTCTAACTTATGTTTCTGTAGGAAAAAACTTTCTATTTCTATTCAATATAAGGTAACAAATAATTTTCACTGCTTTTTTTATTATAATCATAAATCAGAGACTGAAATAGACAATAATAAGCTAGAATTCATTTAATTTAGTTAAAAAAAGATTATATACAGTAGTAATTTGTTTTTTTTGTTACTTGTTTTCTGTTATCCTAAATTAAAGTAGAATAAATTAAGCAACAATAAACTGGTCTTGGTGACTTGATAATTGCGTTTACTTTTGTTTGTGTATTTCGGGATTTATTGCTGTATTATGTATATAACATTGCGATATCTAACCTAGATATGATCGAGAATTTTTTTTGGTAAAAGTGATATTGCGTTTCTATATATTTGATCAAAGCTAAAATTTCATATAAAAATAGGTTCAAATTTCAGCATCAGCTGCGACAATAAGTATTTATATTCGTGGTTTGTGAACTTGCTTTGTTAATTTAATTCCGCCGATTGCTGATAAAAATGAGTAACGCGAACGAAATGACTTGAGAGGTATTACATAATGGTACAAAGTGTTATGTTTCTGGTTTGTGAACTTAATATAGTTGCTACAACTCAACCGGGCAGTACTCACCCGGTTCAATCACTAACTTTATTTCCTTAGTCTCAACTAATTGAACTTCTTATGCACATTTTTTGGATTAATTTTATAATTATATAAAGAGAATATTGTATTTCGGATCTTCTGGCACTTCTCGATTTATTGTAGCATTTATAGAAACTTTATTTATGAAATTATTTTTTGAAATTGGAAATTAAGCAGATAGAGCAAATAGTGAAATCTGAAATTTTTTTGCCAAAACAATTTCAAAGTGCAAGCGAAAATTTCTGTATAAATTAAAGAAATACTGACATTCATGATATAAATAGTAATTTCATAAAAATAAATACAGTATAATATTTACAACAAATTGTTTTGTATATCTGCAAGTTAATTTCGAATTTGAAACATATTACAAATTACATCGTTAATGCCTACGCTCATTCAATACACGATCTAAATTGAATGCAGCTGTAAAATCAAGAAATAAGAAAAGGAATTAAATATTTAACCACCTTCAAAAAGGCAACAGATTTTTGGTTTAAATTATGGCTTACCACTAATAAGAGCAATATGTGTAAAAGCTTGAGGAAAATTTCCTAAAAGTTCGCCACCATGTGCAATTTCTTCACTATACAATCCTAAATGATTTCCATATCCAATCATTAGTTCAAATATTAATTCTGCTTTTTCTAGTAATTTTCGATCGTATTTTCCGGCACGTGTTAATGCCTCGATTAACCAATATGTACACATTGAAAATGATCCTTCTTCTCCACTTAAACCTATGTAATGATGTAATATGAAGGATCTGAAAAAAGAATAAAAAAAAAAAAATTAAGAGATTAATACAGACTATAGTTACCATCGTCTGTGGTGAGATTGTTGTATCGGAAAACAAGATTATTTACTGTAAGTCCACCTGTAAAATAGAACATTGATATTATTAAAATGCTACTAAGTTATAATTTTCAGACAATAAAAATTATAATAAAAAAAAACATATATACATTACCTTTCTCAGGCGGTAACAGAATTTGGTTAATAGTACTTAAAAATCTTGGATCACTTGGACTAATAAAGAATACTAAAGGCATAATCAATACTGAAGAATCTAAAGAATCTAAAGCTTCATAAGATTGTGTGAAAAATTTTCTTTTAGGATTCCAAGCTTTGACCATAATTTCTTCATATATTGTGTCTCTAACTTCTAACCATCGATTCCTTTCTGGGCACGGAAATACACGTTTTTCTGATAATCGAAGTCCTATTTATAAAAAAATAACATAAAATAAAATAAAATAAAATAAAATAAATAGAGCTCAAAAGTTAATTATAAAAGAAAAAGACAAACCTCGATCTACAGCAACCCAGCACATAATTTTAGAATAAGTAAAATTCATTCTTTTACCACGGACTTCCCAAATACTCATATCATCAGTCATCCAATTATCACATACATAGTTAACTAATTTACGTATGCTAACCCACATATCATAAGAGATTGGACTACCATGTTTATTATATAAATATAGGGCATCTAATAATTCACCATAAATATCCAATTGAACATGATCATATGCACCATTTCCTATACGTACAGGACGTGAACTTCGATATCCATCTAAATGATTAAGTTCCATTTCATCTAATCGTTTTTCACCATCAATACTATACATGATATTTAATGATCCATCCGGATTCTTGTAAAAATGAATGTATATATCTAATGTCAATGTTATTATTATGAATCAAAAAAGTTAAGAATGAATGAATTACCAAATCTGCACATCTTTCTTCCATGAATTTCATATAGTGTTTCGCTTCTTCTGTCATTCCAAGTCTCATTAAAGCATAAACTGTAAACGCGGAATCCCTAACCCATGTATATCGATAATCCCAATTCCTATTACTTCCAATGGCTATCAATATAGGCATAAATATTAATTTATAAGTATATAAAACGTGTGAAATGTTATCTTAATTAATGACTAACCTTCTGGAAGACCAAAAGTTGGAGCTGCGACAACTGCACCAGTCTAAATTAAAACACATGAAATTAATTGAAATATATATATTTATGCCAGAGGCAATAATTATGAAATATTACCGGTTCATAAGTTAATAGTTTTAAGGTAAGAGCACTTCGATGTACATATTCTCTCCATCGTCCTTTATAAGACGATTGTGCAATCCAATTTTGCCAAAAATGCAAAGTTTCACGAAACATCGATTTCAATAAAGAAAAATTAATTGGAGGGTTCAAAGATTTATGCATAATAGGATCACATTCATTTTCAATCTTATTATTATGTATTGTATCAGGGATTTCTCGAAAAATAAAGATAACTTCTTGAGTTTCTTTCAAAGTGAAATCTGCAACTACACAAGGACCTTTAAGCTCCTTGTGATTCAATAATTTGAATTCAATATGTGGAGCAGCACCTTCACCACTTTTTGCAACATATCGAAGATCCATCTTTAAACCTTTTGAAATAAAATTTACACATTGACTCCCAACAGAAGAAGTCTCAGAGGAGATTTTGTTATCAATTATTTCTGCAGAATGAGAATCCAATGCATAATTGAAAGCTGGGGACAATTCAAGATGAAAAGCGGTTTCACCCCGAATTACTTCAACATGTCTAACCAGCCATGGTAGCAGAGGTCTTACAAGAGGAACATGATAACTTTCTGGAATATGCATATAATCAGTAATCACACTGACACCCTCCTCACTGAGAAATCGGGTAGTTAAAATATTAGAACTTGGAAGGTATTGTTGTTTATTGCTTGTATAGGCTGTTGTTGGACTAATAGAGAAATGTCCTATGAACATTAAGGTAAAGAGAGAACTTTAGTATCAATGTAACGCGTGCTCATATCATTGTCACAATATAAATATACAATATGTATGCGCCTGACCTCCCTATAAAATTTAAAGAAATCGGTTATTAATAAAACTTTATTTATTTATTTTTTGTGTTCCTAGAGAAATATTAAAATAATACGTAATTATTAGAATTCCCACCTTTTGGTTATCCAAAAGTCTTGCAAAAATTGAAGGACTATCGAATTTTGGATAACACATAAAATCAATGGATCCATCTGTTCCACATAATGCAACTGTTCTCAAATTTCCAACTAATCCATAACTTTCTATTGGAAGATAACCTCTTTAAAGATGAAAAGAAAGCATTTAGGATGAACGTGAGAATCACGTGTATATTTAGATTATCATATGTTAAAATTTGAATACCTTGTACGATAATTAGAGCGAACATTCTCAGCAGGGCATATAGGAGAATTCATCTTAGGTTTAATTTTTATCAATGATTTAACATAAAAAAACAAAACAAGGTCACTTTGACAAGGCTGCTTTTTATAATTCTCATCACAATTTATACATATTAGGATTATAAATCCTCAAGTTGTACACCGAATTTGATAAAGAAGTGATCTTTGGAATAATTACCATGAATAGCGATACGTAGAAACAATGAATAATTGTTGGTCAATTTTAGTAACAAGCTTCATATAAAGATCTTAGCTCTAAATTTTTCAACTGAATATTTTTAGTAATATTTAGTCATCTATCGCTGGTACGTAGTTGTTTATAAATATGCTTAAAAGATACTGTATAAGATGCATATAAGCTCAATAAAGATTAATTTAATCTTGAAATGATTTATTTGTTAGGGTGTTAACCAGAAAACTGGTTTGGAAAGTCTAGATCGATTAATTTAATTAATTGGGAAATTAATTTTTCAGGCTAAATTGAAACATGAAACTTTGGCTTGAGAGAAACATTCCGAATTCCAAAGCATAGTAAATACTAGATTATTATGAGCTTAGTCAGACATCCTGCAATATTAGTAATACTACTTTGCACTTTATTTGGGTCTCCAACTTCCATAACGGTAACAAAGAATTTTTATGTGCATTATATGATCGACCGATTAGTGTTAGTGGTGGTTAAAGTATACGTAGCAGATTCACGACTTAAAATTAGGGAAGAGAGTCTGCTTGAAACGGATGTTTAATCTATCATAAAAAGTAGCACTCGCTCTAATTCTAACCACTCTTTTTTTGTACTTTCCATTTTCTTTTTTGGCTGGCAGACGAAAGTGATCCTCCATTACTGTATTAGCGCTAAAGTTAGGGATGTTAATCATTTTAATCCGATTGAAAATAAACATTAAACCCTCTCTATAGTTACCCTCTTAGGATATAAAAAAGTGAGATTATAGAGGTCAAATTTATTATATCTTAAAAAGATGAGCTTATATAGGAGGTGACTGTAGAGAGGATATACCCGCTATATGTTTCTTGTTCAACCTTGCCAGCCTCAATGCTTTACACCAACTAGATATTCTTCAATGTATAAAGATGCTATTCTTCGAGATACAATATGGATAGTATCTGGATATAAATCGAATTCCCCCCGGGCACAACTCATGGGGGTTTACGAGTCAGCAGTTTATGGTAAAGTGCAAAATAATACGTAAAGTGGATAACAACGCGAATAGATTGCATATTAACTATATTTTTATTCAAATAATTAAAACATAATACGTAGTAATGAGATTTAAAAAACCATTATACGTAGTCATTGAAAAGCCACATGTTGACTATAGGGCTGTGACACTAAATTCAATTTACGTGTTGTTATTTCAGGATTAACCTTCGTTCCCAACTCCAATTATGAGTGAAAAAACGCGAAAATACAAGAAATACAAAAACTTTTGAGTGCTAATACAAAAACGTTAAAAGGCATATGGTTTTATACATTTTTTTTTTCATTTTGAACTTTTATTATTTCGTGTGTTAATATTACGAGCATTAGACCTTTTACAATGTTTAACCAGAATATATTTTTTATATCAAAATTCTGGATCTTTATTATTATCATTATCTTTATTGTAAACCAGAATAGATTAACATTTATCGTGAATATATTACCATAAACATATTTTACATATACATTTGCTTAATAATAATAAATTACTTATCAACTATATAATTTTCTTTACTATTATAAGAATACTTGGTTTCGGCTAAAAAAATAAATAGCTTACTTGTCCTAGTCACCACGTAGAGGTGTATCCTATGACTAGGGAAATGTTAGAACTCGCAAAACTCAAGTGAGCTAGGAATAGTTCCTCGGGCAAAAATTGATTAGATAACCCTGCCGCTTGTCAGTTTATGCTTTAAGGTCCGTGTTGACGAAATAACCTGCTCGAAAGGAACACGAGGGAAAAAAAGATAGTTTTGACAAAAAACTCGAGCGAGCTAGGAATTATACTAAACGTCAGTGTAAGAATGGATTAGATAACCCTGTCATTGTCTAGTTTAGGCTTTACGGCTGTTTTCAATGTATGTGGGGAATCGAAGAGTGTGGAAATTCTGCTTAGTAAAATTAAAGATCCAATTAGAGTGGGTCTTGAAAAATCCTGATCTGTAACTTTCCACAAATTTTTGAAAACGGCTGTAAGCTTACGTTGTTAAAATGTGGCCCTCTCGAAGGGAATACGAGAAAATAAATAAATAAATAAAGGTCGATTATGGCCAATAGCAAAAAATATTATAATATTCTTGAATATTTCGACATTCTCTAAAAACGGAGTATTCTCAGAGAAAGATGCAGATCACTAATCGAATTTTTTTTTACTAAGCAGGAAACAGCTGTAAAATATTTTCAAAGAATATCATAACACTTCTACTACGGGAAAATAAATATATACTGTACGTATCAAAAATTTGCTCTAATTCGTAGCATCTACCTGCCATCAGTTTTTAATAATTTCAAAATTGATTAATCGATAAATTTGGAATAAACTGCTTAAATTTATAGTATCTGTCATTTCCTACTCGATTTATTTAGTTTTATTAATCAGCATAAAGATCTTATTTAAAAAGCTGTTAAGGATAATTCCACGTCTCCTAACTTTCCCAAAGTCTAAAGTAATAACATACAGTACCTGAGAGTGATATTCAAGCAAAAAAAAACTTTGTGATCGCTCAATTCCATTTGCATTTAATAATTCTTAAATTCACCAAAGCATTATTTTACTATCAAAACTTAGAAATAATCCCTTAACTTTATCAATATCTGTAATAAACATTGCTAAATCTATATTCAAACTTTCATAAAAGATTTGAATGATGAATTGGTTCGAAGTTCACAAAAAATCGAGTTTAAGAATGAGATAATGGTGTGGGGTTTTGATTCGGCATCGGTTTGGGATTTCAAATTAGTTTATGGATTCGCAAGTTATAGCCGGAAACTTTCGGCTTTAAAAATAAGATTTGGTTTCCCAACTCTACGTACATTAGCCAACTATTACATGAATAAAGATAGTCACTTTGATCGTTATCGTTAATTTTCATGAGTGTTTTCAAATTGGATTTTCGTAGACAATTGAGCTTTTAATATATTATACTTTCGATCGCTCATTATACGAATTCATATTTTATCAAAAAAAAAGTAGAGCACGCTCCTGGGTACCCCTTGTATACACATATATATCAAAATTGGAAGGATTTGAAGATAGATTGTTTTAATGGTATAAATATTACGCGCTTTGTATAGTAATGCATGATCCTTACGGACGCGTTTATATCACAGCATAATATCACCATGTATAACAGTTGGCCGATGACTTTAAATGAACTATATAACCTTTATGACCTGTCATAGGCATGTGGTCTTAACAAAGGTTGATATGATTTATGACCTTTAATGACCGATGTGACCTATGACCCATGACCCAAAGTGTCAAACATTACGACTTAGTCATCGGTAGATCACGTTTGAATAAATGCTACGCTATAGAAATTTATATTTCAAATTTTTTTGGATTTCTTTATATAACTTAGATGTTTGTTTGAGAAATTTAAATTTTTATAAGAACTTATAGAAATTTAAATTTTTAATTTCTTAACAAAAAAAAAAAAAAATCTAAAAATTTGAAAAATAATTTTTAGAAGCTATACTGTATTCAATAAAATTCATGCTATAAAATAAAATTTTATTAAACATGTAAACCTCTATATAGTGTAAAAAGTTCAATAATTTATAGTATTTATTCAGACATGATACAATCATTTTGAGAGCCACATATATAGCATCCGAGAATTATTTTCTTACTTAAAAATATGCCCGAATATTTTACATTCTATCATGAAATCCTTCAACAAGGGATACATTGAAATACGTGTAAGTGATTTATAAATTTAGCCCTCTATCCCTTTCACGTCATCAGATATTCTATTGCTCGACTTTATTATTCGATTTTCATTTAACTTTAAAGAAACATCACGCAAATTGTAATATTCAGAGACAATACGGCGCAAATTTGTGAAAATCAGTCGTAATCATTCTTAACTACTAAATCTGATAAATCGACATCAGTTCCAGGCTCAATTAGAAATGGACTAGTTCTTTCAAAGCATCTATTATTGAGATAAAAGTATTAATTCTATTATATAGGCCAAGAAACTCGAATTGAAATATAATTACTCTGGATGCATCAGTCTATGAATTGGAGGCCGTTTAGCCTCTCCAAACAAGAGTCTGTATTTGTTGAAAAATTATATGATTAACGTGTATAATATTGGATGATTATCCTATTCCATTTATATATGTATTTATTTGACAAAGGATGTTGTTTACCTGTCATTTGCTAAAATATTTGCTGTTTTTCTATTAACTGAATTAATCCGTTTCCATTCTGATTCTGGAGTCATGAGAGATTCGATAACCTACGTAATTTACAATAATATTGAATTGTTACGATAGAAATTCCTTAAATGCTAACGTTTATCATTCTTCCATAAGAAGACACAAACCTCTGTGATCGGATGTTTCACCTAAATCGTAAGAACAAAAGTGATGCAATAAAATTAAAATTAGAAATTTAAACTTCCCAAGAATATATTTAATTTTAGCATACCTCCCCATTTTTTGTAAGATAGCGATCAAGATGATACCAGGCGAATCCTGCGAGACAAATAAGCAAGGTATTTCTCCATGCTTTGGTTCCGAATCCTAATCAATAGATTAAAGAATTAACAATCTTCTATCAATGAAGACTTCTGATTTTAAATATTCTTTTTTTTTTTACTACATTCGAAAAATTCATGTCCCAAACGTTACTATCGCAATTATATTAACTTATTATATCTCACCTTCTTTCCCATTGCTATTTTGTGAATTATTAGCAACACCAGCCAAGGACCTACTCGTAATAGTCAATGAAGCTAAATATGAAAAACGATTAATTATTTATACAATTAAATCATAAGCTACTAAATATATGTAATTAAATGTTTATTACTTACGCGTTTTTAAAACATATGGAATTAAGGGTCGAAAGGAATTCACCCTTTTTAAATAACGAAACATCATCAATATTATTAAAAAATTTTATTAATTACCGGTAAAATTTTTGATTACGGTTAAGGTGATACGATGCATTTTATGCATAATCCAGTAATCCAGAGATGTCGATCTATCAAAATTTTTTTTTTCTGATATACAGTTTTGATTGATCATTCGTTTTTTCTATCCCTAATTCAATCGTCATAAGGGACATGGAAAAATCCCCCCTTTTTTTTATTTACTACTTTGCTTAAAATATTTACTTTTTATATTAAAATATAGGGTTTATTGGTTTCTTTTTTATCATCATCACATACATATATTAAGTAAATTCTCAATATAACCATGTGAAATAAAGGGACAATTTCAAATCTGATATAAATTCGCGTTATTCCTGGCGTTATTTCGAAGCTATGCTATTTTAGGGGACAATTTTCGAAATAACGCCACGTTATTTCGATGGTATAAACATTGTATAGTTCGACAGAAGGTATAACGATAAATTATAGTTATTGTATGGGTATGTGGTAAATAACCCAGTTACACACCGTGCCGAAGGCACGGATTTAAATATGAACCCGTGTGTGTAACTGGGTTATTCAACATACCCATACAATAACTATCTTATTGCACGGTGTCT